GTCTCTCTCATATATATATATGTATATATATATATATTATATGTGTAGATGTCTGTCTGTTTGTCTGTCTGTCTGTCTGTGTTTGTCTGACTGTCTGTCTGTCTGTCTGTCTGTATGTATGTATGTATGTATGTATGTATGGATGCACAGATGTGTGTATGTCTGCCTGTCTGTCTGTCTGTCTGTCTGTCTGTATGTATGTATGTATGTATTTATGTATGTATGCACGTATGCACGTATGTATGTATGTATGTATGTATGTATGTATGTATGTATGTCTGTATGTATATATGTATGTATGTATGTATGTATGTATGTATGTATGTATATAGGATAAACCTGTAGGGATGATGTGCACGTTTAGTATCATGTACTAGCTTTACTAGTTACACTGTATCACTTAGAGCACCAAAGTAGAGAATGCATTCAAAGTGGCCAAAGTAGCCAAAGTAAGCAAAGTAGCCAAACCAGCCAAAGTAGCCAAGCCAGCCAAAGGAGACAATGCATTCAAGTTATCCAAAGTAGCCAAAACTGGCAAACTAGCCAAAGTAGCCAAGCTAGCCAAGCTAGCCAAGCTAGCTAATCTTGCCAAATAGCCAAATAGTATTATGCAGGAAAATAATAATTCACCTACGATTACAACATCAACAACAACATCCAGTAAAACTGTGTATGATAATGAACGCCATTTCCATTATGTTAGACTTTGCATGCGTACATGCAGTCGAAGTCTCCGAATGCTCTAGCAGTGTGTCACGACAGTCCATCATGTCCAAGCAACTCCATCAATCACAAGGGAAACCTTGAGCCTCGAAGTGCTAAATCTCACGCTTCGTGTGTTGGAACTGGAGGCGGGTGCCCACCTCGGGAGATCGAGACAGAGGCGATTTTCGATGAGTGCAAAGAGAAGAACAGTTGGAGTTCTGGGTATAGCTAAACATTACGGTATCCAAAATTTTGGGCGAACAACGTGGTTGTGGAGCCGCGGTAGGACACTTCTGCATCAACCCTCAGAGCCATATGTCCTCAAGCGTACGCACCTCACCAGTAAAGGTCAGTCATATGCCTTCGGGCCGAAATTCTCCAGATGCTGCTGAAAGGTGAGCATGGCCCAAGTTTGTACCCTCCGTCCCGGTGCGTGAGTTCGAACCAGATTGTCCCACAGTGGAGCACCTTGATTCTTCATTTGTAATAAATTTGTCGACAGCCAACTCCCGCTACGAGCTTTCAAAGCTATAGAGGCGCGCTGCTGTTCAAAAGTGTTGAAATGCAGAGAAATCACGATTTCGCAGTGCGGGCATTCAAAGCGTCGCAACTTCTGGCTTGACCCCGGAAGGCGGACTTCGGCATTGCTTGCTCTGCCGCTGCGCGCCTAAAGGCACAAGCTCTTTGTCACGTCCAAAAGCGTGGAGGGTGTAACACGCACTGTACCAGCTTCGGATTCTTGCTTCCAGACCCGCAAATACGACTCAACAAACCTGACCTGAACATGGTCCGAGTCCAATAAGGAGCTAGAGAGTGTTGACTCCAAGGAAATGTAGGACCTGGCCTTGGTTTCCCATTGATGACAGGTTTGAATTTCGTGAGAGCATGCTGAGGGTTTGGACTTGTGCATTTGGGCCACAGCAGAGTAAGATTTCTATCCAGATGACATGCTGAAGCAAGTTTCAAGCTGCTGTGTGTCAGCCTGTGCAAAGTCGACCTTCTGTATCGCCAGACCCTTCAATCTGCTGCAGTAAGCAGTGACGTCATATAGCCTCAGACCCTAAACGCAATCCTGTGCTGTCAGGGAGTGACGCACACAGGCCAATCGGGACTGCCAGGGAGGCGTTGTGTTTTTCAAGTTCCAAATTCAACAACCGGGATTTTGGCATTGGCCTTCTGCTGAGAATTCTTTCGGTTTGGAGCCGTTTGGGGTGATTTCTTTAAAAGGATCGAGTGATCGGCAAAAGGCAGCAAACGGAAACAGCCGTGTGCGATCTGAAACTGTTCGGCCTTGTTCGCGGACTTTGAAACAGGCTTGTATCTTGTATCTAGCCAGGCGACCTCTCACGGCCAGTCTTGAAATGTGCGAGCCCATGGCCAAACACTGAGCCCTAGTTTTGCCGCAGTTTGACAGGTGTCACGTTGCGCCGCAGCCCTTTTGATACGTGCGGGCCAGTTGTGCAACATGGCAGGCCGAGTGTTCAGTTTTGGACATGCACCTGTGGGCTGGTGTGGCCACGCCGGCCCTCGGAGAACCGGTTGGCCGAGTCAAGACTGCGTGAGGGGCGGCAGGCGGCTGCACCGCCCCCATGTGTCAACATGACCGGCACCATACCTGTCAAAACGTGCATGTTGCCAGGCCCGCGTATCCAAATTGCTGCGGGCAGGCCAGCCCGCGCCAGCCCAACAAGAGGCTATTCGTAGACGGCAAAGGCCAGTCAACACTGCTGTGAGGCGCCGTCAGCGGCCTGCCTGGCCGCATCAAAACTGCTGGCTGCATTCGGACTGGTGCGGTTGAACCACACAGAAGTTTCGACGCAATGCGGGCCGCCCGCACATGAACATGACAAAAATGCCGTGCGACGCTGTGGGCGAGCTTGCGCAACAGCGCACAGGCGGCAACTGCGTGCTGGAAGCTCGAAATGGCTTGAAGTTGTTGTCACGCTGGTGAGGGGCTGTGGGAACAGCTTGCAGGCCGCACGTGTCAAAACTGCTGTGTGCAGGCCAGCAGAACTGTTCCGAGCTCCACCTGTCAAAAACTTGTATGACGCAGCGGCTCTAATAGCGCTGCAGCCGCCTGCCTGCACATGTTAAGAATGCCGTGAATGGCTGGCTAACCTGAGTCAAAAATGCTAAAGGGCGGGCGGCCAGCTCGCACAGCCCGATGTGTCAAAACACATGATCGGCTGCCGCTGTGAAAGAGTGGCGGCCAGACTGTACCAGGCCGCGCGAGCAAAAACTTCGTGAAATGCTGCGGGCACCTGCGCTTGCCTGAGTGGGTCAAAACAGCTGTGATCGTCATGCGGAAAAGTGCAGCCCCTCACTGGTGAGGGTTGTGGGCACCCGCAGCCTGCCCTGCACAGCATTTTTGACTTGCACGGGCAGGCCCAGCATGCACTGGTGCAAGCATGGTTCAACCATGATTTGTGCATGCCTCTTGCTGGCCAAATTGATTGTTGGATTGTTGAACGGATTCCAGAGACCTGCAGCTCTTCGCAGCAATTGTGCGAGCTGGTGCGGGTGGGCAACCCTCAGCCGCGGCCGCTCACACAGATCTTATCATTTGCAGGCTGGTGCGGGGAGGCTTTCCCAACCCAGGGCTGTTGCACAGCAGTTTGACACGTGCAGCATCACGTGAAGGCCGGTGGAGCTTCGATCAATTGAAGTTTCATCGACGACTCTGTTGCGAATTCTGCCACCGTGCTGGCCACGGTTAAATACTGTTCGGACAGATTGGGCGTGTGGTGTGGGTTGGCCGCGCGCAGCCCTGCATTATAGTTAGGACACGTGCAAGCTGATGCGGGCACAGATCTGGTGGGTTGTGATGGGTTGGTTGGTGGGTGGGAGGGTGGGTCACCTGGGGACGTCGAGTTGAAGCAGCCCTTTATCGTCACATTTTTAGAGTTTATAGTGCTTTGGCCTGTCATACACGCAGTTGTTTGTAAAGAGTTTGCCCGTGCAGATTGCGCAAGTGAGGCCCATCAGCTCGCAGGCGTTGCAATGGTACCGCCAAGCTATTGCACCCCACCCCCGGAGATCCCCGGAGTAGTGATGTCCGTACCGACAAGTTTTGGTTTTGCCAGGGAAGGCCTTGTCGTCGACGGTAGCAGCGAGACGCCCGAAGAGGAAGCTGTGGGATCTCAGTTTGAGGTGTGAGTTGAGGTGCTGCGTGATTTGCAACTGAGTCGTGACTATGGAGAAGACGGTTCCCATTGTAAGCATGTTTTTTCGCTATGGGCAGGTCGTTCAACGCTTGGAGTTATTCCGGTTTCAGCGCGGGCTTCTGGAGGAAGGCTTTCAACTTCAGCTTGGGGTTCCTTAGATGGGCAGAGCAAGACTGTAGGAAGTCAGAGTCTTGATGACTCAGGGACTGGACATTGGAATGTTCGAGCTTGTTTTGAGCTTGACTCGTCGCAAAAAGTCAGCAACATGACAGCCGCATGATTGCTTGTGTGTGTGCGTGCGTGTGGGGGGGTGTCGATGTGTTTTTTGTCTTGGAGCTTTGTCTGATTTTCTGCTATGTTTTCGCTTGAACATGTTGCACGATTGCACGCCCTTCAGGTTTGTGCACAAAGACTCCACCCTGCTCCCAGACCCAATCGGCCTTCTGTACGGTTGCAGCTTCTCAACAGCCAGGAACATGAACTTTTCAATATTCGCACTGTCAAGTCAAATCATTATTATCGCTAGCTGCCAAAAAGTCGCTAAAAGCTCCAGCTATTGAAGAGCAGTGTGTTACACTGCCCGTGACACGCTTGGATACCCAAGTCGAAGGCAATCCGCCGTCTTAACCACGAGATCAGCGAGGCGCAACCGGCTGCCCGCCGTCCAGGGGTTTTGGTTTTCAGCGGGAATTTGCGGTGTTGTGTTCCGGGCGTAAGCCTCAACCTCTAGCAGATCTTGTCTTGAGGAGGTCCATGGTTCAGGGTCCATGACTGGTCGGTGTGCATGAGCTGGTGCTTGAATTGGAGATTTCTCGTCCAACCTGCAGGGGGTAGTGTCGGTGATGAAGAGCGGGCGGTGACAGTGCTGCAGCAGCCGCAACGGCAGCAACCGTCTTAGACCTACTGCCTAGCTGAGATCACCACCCAACTACCGAGCCGCAAGCACATGCTGCCAAAGCTTTTCTGGACCTTGCTCGACAGAGACACAGCATGTGGAGAATGCAAGCGCTGTCCCACCCACATACTTGTCTGATGAGTTGGTCTGGGGGATTACAAGTAAGGACAATGATTGGATCCTAATGAGGCTTTACTTAGGGGGTTCTTTTTGGTGATATTCTAAACTCCTTAAAGGGGAATCATAGAGGGGACCATATAAGGTCTCCATTGTAGGGGCCATGACGGGGGAAACAAGGAGTGTAGACTACGAGAAACGAGATGCTCTCTATACGTTCAGGGCCTGGTTACGTGGAAGTGTACAAGAAATGCTTGTTGAGTTTTCGCGTGGTCGGCACGCACAGTCATTTACGGTTTGAACCCGTCGCGTCTTAGCTGCATATTCTTTTGATCCGTAGTTAAGCAACAGCTCACACTGCGGATCCTTGAGGCTGCACTCGCGTCTTGCATGTCGATGCTCATGAAACCGAATGCATGTGAAGTAGTTCGCACATTTTTCCCTCTAAGGAAAAATCTTCTTAAGTTGATTTGCGACATCAGGCGATCGAATCGGACGATGCGGGCAGAGCTGCGCAGGCACGGCACCTCCCACACAACACCCTAATACTGAAAGCAGAGAAGCTTCAAAAAGCAAGGTAAATTTGCTGTGATCCTGACGAAGTCTATGCGGCTCGTCACTGCAACAATGCAACATGTTGCTTAGACAATTCCTGTATTCCAAGTTTTTGAGACGTGATCGTTAAAGTATTGAGAGCAAGCTTAAGGAACGTTGCCTGCATCTTTGGTTCTGGGTTTAGACTGAAAGGTGATGCTGTTCGGTGCTACGAGCTGCGTTACTCATGAGCTTGTCCAAACCATAGTTTCTTCGTGTTTCATGTGCAGATGCATGCTTTTACAGGAGCTTTGGCTGGCTTGAGGGTATTCTTTGAGCTTCATTGCTTACTTTATGGCCTTATGATATGGGAATGTAGCGTTGTGAATTCTGCCGAAGCCAGGCACTTGCGACTGTATGATCTTGGTCGGGCTTGCAGGGAAAGTGCCGGAGACACGGTTTACGGGGGCTGCGAGATAGCAGCTGGTGCAGAAGTAGAGCCTTCACTCATTGACAGGCGCAGCGTGAACTCGGAAAGGCCGCGGCGGAGATGCGGTCGCAAGTCCAAGTCCGGGGGACATTCGATGTGACGTTGGTACCCTGAGGTTTTGGTTCCCTTTTCTGGCATGCTGCACATGCTCCATGTTGATGTAGTCTGATGCCCGGCACTAGTATGCATATAATCTGCTTATATATATATATATAGATACATGTTTATGTCAACGTGTATACTGCGATCGGACAGCGAAGCATCGTCAGTTCGGAAGACTGCACACATGAACGGACATCGAAGCATTGTCACTTCGGAAGATTCCTGGAATAAGAGCTATGAGAAGCAGTCATGCAGACACGCATTACTGCGACCAACCAGCGCTACTATGACTCCGAAACTCGGGTCATAGAATGCGACGGTTTACCAGCGCTCCGCGTAATCGCCACAACTGTGGCGCAAGAACTAGCTGCAAACAAGTGTAGCGCAGTTTACCTTTCGGCCTAGCAATACGTCAAGCCATCCCGCATTCCTTTGCATTCACAAAGCGCAGAGCTACACAAAGGACAGAGCGAGTTTGCTGCTTTGCGGGAGGGACGGGAACACACGTGAAGTGAGTACGCCATACCAGATCCTCAACATCTACATCACTAGCTCAAGGTGCGGTGAGCGATATATCAGGACCAAACCCTCGTGCAGGTCATCAGCCGTAGGCTCTGCCTCATGGTACGTGAGCTACTTCAACAAGTTCCGGCTGCAATGACGTCAGGATCGAGTGCCGACACGACCTTGACATTTGAAGGAGATGCATTGGTGCTGCCAGCTGCTGGGGAATCTGCTGCTCAGGAGGAAGAGGAACTTCTTGTCACTACCGAGGATGATCAACGCCCGGTGGCGAATCCCAAAGTAGCATCGAAAGCACCAGCATCTACGTGTAAACCCTCGGTTTGGAGCGAGATCTACCACAACTTCCCGACCGACATCGTCAAATTCAATGTCGACTTCGAGAAATTCGGATCGGAGGAGTTCCAGGTCTGTCGCGCCCAGGCACCGACGGACACCCTCACGTTCCCACGCGCACGCACATTGTGAGCCTCGGCTGAGGGGCGATTGTGAGCTGACTTGAGTGTTTGCGAGTGCCTGTGCAAGTGCAAAGTAGCAAGTTGCCTTGCATGATTGTATAGGCTATCGGCATTTTGGCCCAAGTGCCTTGTGTATCTAGGTGGCTCAATCGTGCACAGAAGTACCGTAGCAGTAGCCTGTGGGCGTACCGCGCGTAGGAATTGGTGTTCGGGGTTGGACTCTTTGAAGTCGCAAAATAATTGGCTGTCCGCGTTTGGTTGTTTGCGAGACCGGATTAGCCGGCTTCAGAATATGCGTGTATATATATATATATGCATATACACATGTATACACATGTATACACATGTACACATGTATGTGACGATGTTGCCGGAGATTGTAATTTTATTTCAGTTGTGTTGGAAGGAATACTTTTTTGATTTTTGGCTTCAAACCATTTTCGAGAACCGTTTCCGGAAGTGCTCGCGGTATTGTTGTGAGCCATAAACATCGCATGTATCTCAAAGCTTTGGCTCCGAGGGAGCAAGGAAACTTTTTAGCATTAGGCCCACAAAAACCTTTGCTTCGTCAGGGCCCATACGATGCCTTGTGTCACCGCGGATGACCACGTGCATTATGTAGAGGCTGCGTTAGGAGTGTAGCTCCAAACTGATTCTACCCCCCGGCCTTCTCCGGAGGCAAAAAGGAGGAGCGCGATTATGTGAGTGATTAAATGTGGTATGATATTTCATACTTCATGACTCCGAATGTTTTTGCCTTATGATATTTCGTTTGAGATACAAATAATTGAACGAGATATTCTTGACAACATATTCGGCGATGCACTTTCCATCACAGTTGGAATGAATGTACATGTATACATGTATGTATATACATGTACATGTAAATATATAGATGTATACAGCTGTACATATGTAATGACCAAATATGTATATCTATATATAGGTAAACATGTAAGTATTTATATATGTATATACATTGATATGTACATGCGTATATATGTATTTATGAACATATGTATACAAATTTATACATTTATGTATTTATTTGTATATATGTGTATATGTACCGCAGGTTTGCAACATGCCCTTTTAATTTTCAACTTGCAGGTTATGGTTTGGGGAAGTGCTGGCTGAGATCCACGCAGCTCTTTCGGATTCGGGGCTGAAGCTCACAGCATACTGCTGAATCACTGCTGAATGCTTGCGTGTGATCGGGAAAGATCAGGTCACCAGGTCAAAGATATGGTTCAGCTTTTTGTTGACGGACTTCGTTTACATTTTTCCAAAGATAGCCGCGTACAAGCGAACCGGTCCAGCTGCGAACGTGCGCAGCACTTGTGCTTGGGCATTCCGGGTTGGGATTTGGGCAAAACGGGACCTAGGGTATTGATATACCCGCACTTGTCGAGAATGGCAACTTCCAGAAGCGTCACCTGCATTTGTTGATTGCTTTTTCAACATGCACCTTTGACCCCTGAGTTGTATACGTCAGATCCACTTGGACAAGCCCTCCGTGGCCTGTCGGCACCTCATTCGCGAGGACTCCTGTCTTCGAATTTTCGTTCTCAGGGGCTTTGTTGGAGAGACGTGCAGGTTACTATCATCATTCGAAGTAGATCTTGCCACTGAAGTGATGCTGGCGGCTTCCACGTCGGGCCGGACAGACAGCTCAAGATTTCGGTTTGCAGACAAAATATACTCCGTCCGGTGATTGCACCTCCGGTGTGTTCAGGCTTTCGATGTTGTGAACGTTCGTGCGAGGTTCGATTGCCAAGCCGAGATGCTCCCGTGACAAACAATAATACATCAGGTTCCAAGGTTCTAAGAGGTGTTTTAATTTGTCGGGGGCAGTATGCGGTCTCTTGGTAGCATTCGATACCAGCTTTACTTGTGCTTGTGCTGCGGGAGGGTGGGCAGGCAGTCGACTGCGACTGTCGTGGTTCATGGGTTGAACTTGACCGAAGCTCTCTTTCCAAAGCCGTCCGTTCAGTGCCTGTTCGACAGGACTGCTTCTCGGCGTCGGCAATGCTCCGCTTAGGCCACTGCCAGAATTTGATCTGTGTGATTTTTCTCTGGGGTGTTGTATGGAGGGTTTTCGAGCTTGCTAAGTCTGGATAGTTGATACCATATTTGGCTCTTCACGGAACAAGCGCTCGAGACATCTGCATGGATCCATGTATTTCTGAGATGTGCACGATCTGGCTCCCGGGAGATGATTCACGGTTGAAGGTTTGTGTGCACTCGCAGTCCGATTGATAATTGGGTCGGTTTCTGAAGCCAAAGTTGCCCAGGGTGCTGTTCGTAAATCCTTCAGCCGCGAAAGAATTGAGTCTTATAGCAGGAGACAACGTGCCCATCCGTGCCCGTGTCTTTGCCGTGAAGAAGCTTTCAAGGCCCTTGTCGTGACTTAGGCTTCAGGTGCTCGGGGTCTCCGTAGAGGTTTGGGATTTGTTGGTCTTCTGGGTTTTTCCGGTTGCGCTTGGCTTTCGTGTTCGTGCTTGCCAAGTTGAATGGCACCCCTGCTGGGTCTGCCCAACTTGGTACTTGTAGCCCAGAACAGAAGCAACTGATCAGAGTTCCTCCATGGCCTGTTGTGCCTGTCGGCGAAGCCAAGCCAAGCAGTGAGGCCTTCAAACCTTCGACATACCCGGGCATTACACCTGCACTGAGTTTTTCGGCCGACTATGCTTCCTGGGACGAAATCCGTTCTCCTTGAGCAAACCCCTGCCGGATCTAATCCAAGCCAAAGTCCACGACATCGGCTAGGACTGGCTTCGGGAAGGGGACTTGGATGTTGAGTGCCTCTCCAATCTACGCGCAGGTGGCTCCGATGGCCTCAAGCGACGAAGAAGGCATCGAGCTCGTATATTGTATTTGCGGGTTTGTGTTGAACAGGTGAGGCTTTCCGTCGCTTTGAGCTGTATCAAAGAAGGATTACAGGGCTTGGTCCTTCCAATACCGGTGAATGCAAGTCCATAATGTGATTTTCAGTAGACCAACTAAAAAAATCGTGGGAGCGACAAGACAGACGATGATGCACACCTGGACAGCGAAACCTCAGATCGAATGGCCTATCAACGTCAAGACCGCCACTGCCAGCAAACAAGCAGGACCTTGTGCCTGTGGCCACGGCTCTTGCTGGCCTCCTCTTCGCGCTGCAGTCTGAGCCAGAGGCTCCGGCCGCTTCAGCTACAGTCGCAAGGATGGTGATCGTTCGCGTCATCATCCTCGTAACTGTCGATGTTCTTTTGGAACTCTCGGGCAAAATCGTGCAATCCCCGCCTCCGTTCCCCGCACACATTTTGGTGCGTAATCCCGCTTGGAGATTTTCAACGGACAGGTGGCCTGGGCAGCTCAGTGCGCGCTGTTTCACATAGCGCGGGCCTGAACAGGGTGGGGCTTGTCAGATGTTGGCAGAGGATTGAGGTCGCCGCGGTAGGTTTTGCAGGCTTTTAATCTAATTAAAAAATTTAAAAAGTTTCCGGTTCAGATCGGGATGATCGTTTGTTTCTCGCAACCACATATAGTCGTGCGTTCAGTGACGATGGGACTCTCGACTTCTGTGCGGCTTGAGGAGTCGTTTTTGCTGCATGCTGAGGCCCTCGCCATTCTCACCCTAAACCCCAAACCCTACCACGCAGATCTAAGCTATTCAGCGACACGACATGACCATGCTACCATGTTCATGTGCTGAAAGGTTCGCATCAAGGGCCGTTCAGATTCTGGGAGCTAAAGTTCACGAGCTTGTTTATTTCCACCAATTGATGCCTTGCATCGTATGTCGCACGATCGGACAAATCACAAAGCCTGGAACCAGTGTTTTCTCGCTTTGCGGGGAATATGTAGTTGCGTGGTCAGCCCCTGCCCTTGCTTTCTTGTTTGCCGTTAGCTCGGGTCCTTTTCCTAGCCAGTGGCGAAGTCCCGTGGGCCCGCGAACGCAAAAAACACCATCAACGGGCCGCGCGTGTTGTTGTTGTTGTTGTTGTTGTTGTTGTTGTTGTTGTTGTTGTTGTTGTTGTTGTTGTTGTTGTTGTTGTTAAGCACAAAGACTGGAGCCCCATTCGATTTGTTTAAAGAGAAGACACGGGGCGCGCCCCTCCCCCGGAGGTTGTGCGGGGGGGGGGGTAGAACAACACACGGGGCACCAGGTTTTGTTTCTTCT